TAATTAATTTTAATGTTAATTAATATTAATTTAAAATAAAAAAAAATCGAAGCGAATCGGTTACTTATTCATTTAGGAAAAAAAAAAAGAAAACGTATGAAATAATTGAAAAAAGTAAAAGCGGATCGTATAGAAATCATTGTATAATAAAAAACTATAATTTTTAATTTAAAAAGTATCGATAAATGACAGATTTAATATAAAAAATAACGAAAAAAAGTTGCGCAAAAGAAGTTGGGAGCGGTGAGTTGGAATAACTTGAAAAAAAAAAAAAAAAATGATGGTTATAAAATCATAAAAAGACCGAACAACTAAAGTTGTTTGTTTCGATACCCTCGTGTCACCAGAAAATATAAAAATGTGTTAATTGAAATCCGTTCGAAAATTTAAGTGAGGCCCCCCTTCCCCCATTTTGAAAATGCCCTCGAGTCTTTACACACACACCAAATAAAAAAAAATGTAAAAAAATAATACTTTCTATCTTTTTTTTTTTTTTTTTTTTTTTTTATTCGTTAAAAACAAAAACAAAAAACAAAAACAAAAAACATGGATATTTGTTTATGTTTAGATATATCAAAGTTCTCCGGAAGTTGAAGTCGAACGAACGTGGTAAGAAACGTCCTATAAAACATAAATTAGGTGACTTTGTTTTGGTTCGAGTCAGCAATTGAAGAACAAATATGGTAGGTCAACAAACAAAATTTTCTATTTTTTCTTTTTATTATTAATATTATTATCATTATTATTATTATTTTTCAAATTTGTGTTTTTTTTTTTTTTTTTTTTTTTTTAGAAATACAACAACAAGTGTTCGATCGTTATAATTTTTTTTTTCATGTTTTTCGTATCCGGAATAAAATGTTCAAGATTTTTTGACTTGTTTTTTGGAAATCATAATACTGGAGGAGGTAATTAGTTATAATTTTATTATTATCATCATAATTAACATTTTTATTTTTTATTTTTTTTTGAAACGCGTTCAACAACGTTTCGAACGCAAAAAAAAAAAAAAAAAAAAAAAAACATTTTTAATTTTTTTTTTTCTTTTTTCTTTTACTTTTTTTTTTTACGGGTTAACCCAATTTTAGGGATATCCTTTGCTTTTGAACCCGTTTTTTTAGGCTTTTTTCATTTTTTACTTTTATATAAATTAATTTTATTATCTTTCTTCTCTTTCTTCTCTTTCTTTCTTTCTTTTTTTTTGTCAACCATCGCGGTTTCCGTTTCTTTTCAGTTATTTTATTACGACGACACACCAAACCAACTTTCCTTTACAAATAAAAAAAAATAAAAAAATTCCCCGTCCTCCCCTTTTTTATTTTTTTTTCTAAGGATATAATTAATTTT